TTCCTACTGGCTGGACCCAGTGAGCGAGTGGCCGAGATGGGCCCGCGGTAAGAGACGACACCGCATTATGTAGCCATTGTTTTAAAAAAAAAAAGTTGTTTGCGGGTGAGATATTCATTTCTTGTGCTCTCCAGGGTGCTGGAGATGCTCCAAGGGAAGGGGGCAGGAAAAAATGGACGTTTCCAAGGAAAAGCTAACAGCCTGGCACGCAGAGGGGAGGTGGAAGCTTTACTGGAGCAGCAATGCAAACGGGAAGAATAAACCCAGCAATGATTTAATAACAAATACATATTTTTTTATGAATACGACTTTTAGAAGCCATTAAAAAGGATCGCTTACCTGATTTGTGGTAAACACTAAATATTAGTGTCATTACACAAACCACGAAATTGGATAATTTTTTGAAAATTTGTATTTCATGGACCTCTGTACAACATGTGCTGTACATATTTGAATGTTAAATGCCATTTACAGTTTTAACTGTTTAAAAACTCTTCCTTAAACCTTATCTGTGATATGATTTTGTGTTGAGTCTTGTTTCTGAAACCCTGCTTGCTAGTGGTGTTTACAGCCGCTTGCAACATAAAAAATGCATTTCTACCGACTGATCCAACAAAAACCAACACTGTTTGAACGACATTTTTAATAACTTTAATTTAAAAGACCAGTGAGAATGTAATGTACAAAATACAGACACTTTTATGCTGTTGGTAACTTAGGTCTTACATTGTTTTTGGCATTTAAGTAGGCAGAAAATAGAAACCCTTGTATAGAGTAATGCAATAAAAACAACAGTCCTAATAACTCCTACCTTTTTTTAACAGTTATTATATATTCATTTATTATTTGATCACCCCATTAACATACGAGTAGTGACACCCTACAACACAATCTAAAATCCTATAAGTGAACCTTTTACACATTTTTAAAGTTAAATTAGGACGGTTGTATTGCATTAAATGATACAGGGGCTTCTGTTTTCCCGGTGTTTGGAAACATTAGTTATTAGTCACGTCCATCACAGTGTAGTCATTAAGTGTTCATGATAAGATAACAGTGCAAATGTGCAAGCACCCCTTCCCCATTTAGACCTTTATAAAATACTATAGGCAATAAAAAGATATTGACAGTGGTTTGGCCGCAACGTGATCGTCCTCTAGACAGTTTTCCAGTTCTCCTTTGTCGGGTTATTGCGAAGGTTTCACCAACTTCATTGCGATGTAGTTCTGGAAAAATTGAAAATAATTTTAAATAACAGCTTCTCTCAAGAATAAATCATAAAGACCCTCCTTATGCTCTCGTGGATTCTTACCGGTAAGGAGTACAACAGGATGCCGAGGAAGAGCAGCACTAAGATGAGGATGATGAGTCCGATGAAGAGGCACCTGAACCTTCGCCACACGATGAACTTCATGGTCTTACATGGGTTTGTGAACCAAAAGAAGGACGTTTCTGGGCGTCTGATGAGATCAAATAATAATTATTAGTCCAACAAGAGGAGGTGGTAAAGAAAAGCAAGATAAAAAAATGGGTAATTAAGTGGAGAATGAATGACAATGAATACGTTTGTTTGATCTAAAAAAAATGATGAGATGAGTTAATTTAGATTTAATCTGCCGAGTGTAAAAAAAGGGTTTGTTTCACAGGGTGGGGTCTTACTTGGGAGGGTCCAGTTTTGGGTTCATGTTGGGTTCGTCCCGGCCTTTTCCTGCAGGTTTTTCATCTATTTCTGCTTCACCTACGATCTCCAGAGTCATCTCCACTTTGCCCTGTAAGCACAGCCGACATAATGACAATGACGATCTCCGGGACTTTCTGAATGTTCAAATCTATTCATCGAGCGGCAACATATAAACTTTTGATTTAGGAGTTGCGCAACATTTGGGGCTAAAACTTAAGCATGCAAGCCAACAGTGTCCTTGATGAGAATTGCCTACAAGAGGTCTTTATCTTGTGCCACATTTGCTGCCCATCCGACCCCTGTTATTCCCTCCAAAAAATGAATACATCCAGTTGTACTTTTTAATTCCCACTTACACCCAGGACCTTCTCTCCGTCCTGTTCGATGGAGCAGGGCCACCAGCCTCTGACGGACTGCTGGGAGAACAGACACTTCTCGTTCTCCTTCTTGACTGGAGATCCCATTTGCGGGTCCTCCATCATCTTCAGAGAGCATTTATTTGGAGTCTTGGCAGGAGGCACCAGGTTACGCAGATCCACCTCCAGCGTGCCTGGGATCACAGAGTGTTACACTATGATGGTCAGGTTTTGTAAAGGTGGTCTGTAGGTAAATGAAAGACTCGAAACACCTAAAGTTCTCTTTGTTTAACTTCAAAATGTGTCTCACCCAGGTAATCGTCCAATGAGAATTTGTCGTTATCCCATATCTGAACGATGAGCTTGGGGGGAATCCTGAACTCGGTTTTGTCAAGACTCCAGAAGCGCTCCTGGTGAATAATGAAAAATATATTTGACTAAAATTGCCCTTTTTTTTTATAAGTCTAGGTCAATTGATCGTCAGTCCAGATCAGCCTCACCTTCTTGGACACGAGGCAGAGTTGTTCGGCCGGCAGATACTCAAACTCAAAAATGAACCTCCAGTTGAAGTTTCCGTCTCCGTCCAGAGAGCGGTAGTGGACGTCCGTCTTCTGCTTCTCATCCTCCATGCCTGCCATCCAGCTGCAGAGGAAACAAACTGAGTGAACATTTACTGTTCAGCAGATCCCTGGTAATTCCTCCTTCACAGCTTTGCTTTCAAAGAATTACGAATAAAATCTATAAAAATCAGTTTTAGCACTGAAGCAAGTTCTGAATAATCCAGTATTGTATAGTTTTCTTTTGTAATGTAACCGACCCTGTTTGGTGGATTTCTTTCTAATAGAGTGTTTTGTTATCATTCTTTCAATAATTATATGTACAGTATATGATTATTTTTATATCAAGTGTTTTTTCTGTAATAGTGTTGGAAACTCATAATGCAACAAAATGAAAAACATTAAAAAATAGTGAAAATAATGAAGGCATGAAAGCAGCATTAGAACACTTTAACTAGTTGTCACCAATGCACTCAACAAAGTCATATTTAATTTATATAAAAAAAATGTTCCTGCCATAAAGTTTATTTGAATGATTTATCAGTCCTACCCTTTGACATAGATGTCACTCATGTGCTCTCCTGTGATGCTGGCCTCGTCTAAAGTCACGTCTGTGGTGTTCCAGACGACCGCACGCAGGAAATACCTGAACATACAAACACAGTAAGTATAAATAACTCAGTGGCATTTCAATGGGACCAGTGATGAAGCACCAAAGAGGTTAAAGAGTCCTCACTTCTTAGGCTTTCGCGGCGTGACGTCAAAGGGAGGTCCAGGGGGTCCGATGCTTTTCGGGAAAACATCCACCCACATCTGGAGCTTTCCCTGAATGAACACATTAACAGTTTTACAAAATAGCTGCATCAGGGTGAATGTGCACATGTAGGTTTTAGCTGTGACCTCTGACCTGGGAGATGTTGGGCTGGAAGGTGCTGTAGAGGGTCCGGGTCTCCACGTGTTCGGGGACCAGTCCCTGTTTTCTGAGCACGTGCAGACAGAGGCGCTCTCGGGGGGGACCCAAGTGCTCGTGGATCTCGTTGGTGTTCTCTGGATGTGAAAAATAAATATTACAGCTTTATTAGGCTTATGTTTTATTATACTTAAGGAAACAAAGATTCAGTCAAGCAACCCACAACAAAAAAAACATGTTAAATGGATAAACTAATAAATGTGCCAGAATTATTTTTTATTAATAATTGATTGATAACATAACAAAAAATACAATTTGAGGGACATTGGAAACAAAATCGTCATCACCAATATTAGTTATGTTGGCAATAGTTTGAACTATTATTATATTATATTTAAGACCATTGACATTACCAAACTCAGCCAACGTGTATTCTTTTCCATTGAAGGAGAGTGATGTGCCGTTGTCTTCGGTCCTGGGTTTGGACAGGCCCTTCATCCGAGCCAGGTTCTCCAGAATCAGAGACGGCTTCATCTGGTCCCGCCACTTGTTGATACCAGAACTGAGACGCAAACAGATATAAAGTAAGGATCCAATTGTAGGGTTTTTAGGTTATTTTTCTAAAATGTCCCCCTGTGAGGCGTTTCCTTACATGCAGTATGTTTGTGGCAGGCCGCAATAGGAGTTATATCGGGACAGGAAGCGGTTCTCCAGGTCAATCACGGTCTCGCCGACCTTCTCGTCACGGGTCAGCATATCGTAGTCATAGACGGAGATTTTCAGGTCTTTATCCTGGGGCAGGAAACACGTCGTCTCAAACATCCTGAACAAAACAAAGGGATTGTTTGAGAGGGTTTACCCTTTAAAAAAATAAAATGATCTGTAGTCTTTGTTTAAATCTGTCAATTTACCTTCCGAACACAGGGGTGGTGGTGTTGGGTAAGTAATGGTCTCTGTCGTCAATCGTGTCCTTTCCCAGAGAAATCTTTATGTACGGATCACACTGAGCAGGACACAGGACACAAGTTCAAGCAGAGGTTTCCAACTGGGCCACAAAATATGCTTCCTTTATTCCTGGTATTTAGGATTTTTTCTCACCCTGCCATTATTGTCTTTGGGCTGTAGGTCGATGGCCTGGATCACGTAAATCCGGACCAGACACTCCTGAGGTCCGCTCTCTGGCAACTCTCTGAACTGACGGGGCGGGGGGGAAACACCAGGGTCATCTGATAGAGGGTACACCTTGAATGAACCCTGCAGGTACAAGAACACACACTTAAAAAAAGGGATGGATTCGATGTTCGAAGGGAAGTTTTATGAGGACTTTTTGTTGGTGGCTTAAACGGACATCTTCTTTTACACCAACTATGGACAAGCACCTCATACAAGCCCATTTAAAATCAATCGAACTACATCTTCAGGAACTGGGCTTGGTCCAGAGCGGAGGAGATTCAACTCCATTCACAAGTTATATATTCTTTTTTCTGTCCAACAGGAAATCAATTAAACAATGTTTTGCTAAATATTTGATAGATGTTATGAAGTGTTAGTGTTCTGTCAAACTACCTTAAACTCTCCAACCACACTGGGGTCATCATCCCCATTTTCATTTTTGCCCCGCAGCAGTTTGAAGGTGCAGCAGAAGTCAGTCAGCCCTTTGAACTCTGGGACGTCCTCCAGCTCGCAGTCAAACACCTGAGGAAACACAGACACATTGAAGTCATTTTCAACATTTAAAGTAGATGGTGTGGGAAGAAGAAAATAAGCAGACTTACTTTGAGGATGTCGTATCCTTTTTTGAGGTACGGGCCACATTTCTGCTGGTCTCCAGTTGAAGCGTATAATTTACTCCACCAGTCGACTGTCTCTTTTTCCTAAATATTGAAATTCACAATGTTAAATTTGATGAATATAGTTGTATGCATGTGGTATAAGGATTTAAAATCTCAGGGATATAATCTTTTTTTTACTCTCACCTTCTCTACAAGCTGTGGAGAAAGAGGACGCGAGGTGACACAAAACAGAGGACAAGTCACAAAAAACAACCAGATACAACATAACATAAATGACAAATACAAATACAAACATCACATACAGTAGGCTACAATTATTGACAAGACAGAAAAACAGTGAAGGAAAGGTTGATAAGGAGATCCCCATAGAAAGAAAATCTCAAAAACAAGGGCGTAACAAAGGGCAGTAAAGTGCAACTGCAATATGGCCATAGTCTCTTTTCTGGCAAAGAGGCACCATGGAGGGCATTGGTAGTAATATATATTGATTTGCTTATTTGCTTTTTTTCCCTCCAGGAGTTAGATGTGAAGATTGATATCACTCGCCTACTCGTATGCTAAAAAGGAAGCTACTGCCAGCAGATAGTTAGCCTAGTTTAGCATAGACTAAAAACAGCTAGCTACTTAGCTTAATTTAGCAGAAATAGTGACAACTGCTCGCTAGTTAGCTTAAAGACTGGAAACAGCTAGCTACTTCGCTTAGTGAAAGACTGGAAACAGCTAGCTACTTCGCTTAGTGAAAGACTGGAAACAGCTAGCTACTTCGCTTAGTGAAAGACTGGAAACAGGTAGCTTAGTTAGATACACTTAGCCTACAGACTGAAAACAGATAGCTTGTTTCTGTAAAGTTCACTCATTAAGCTCACTCACTAAAACATTAACCGTAAAGTAGATTTTCTACATCCATGGTGATCTGAGTTACAAATGTACAATTTTTTTAACATAATGATTTAAATAAGGGCTATTGAGTGAATCTGCTGATTAATAGACGTCTCTTTCCCGACTTAAGTCTATGAGAAAAAGTTTGGTTTGGCCCATTGGCATAAGCTTTAAATTATGTTTTGCTAAATTGACAACATTTGTTTTCCCATTTAACTCTCCGCAGAAAATTAAATATGCACACTTCCCAAAATTGTCAAACGTTTACTTGAAGTATAACATTGGAAACTGTACTTCTAACCTTAAATAACGTTAGTAACTTCTATGCGACGCCTGGTAACTTAATTTGCTCCATGGCCCATACAGTACATCAGGGGTGTCAAACTCAATTCCATCGCGGGCCACATTAGCATTACGGTTGCTCTCTAAGGGCCACTTTACTTTAAGATTATATAAATATATAATATATATAAAATAATGTATTATATGACATGATTTCCTCTGCATTGGATCATTATCGGATAGGGTAATAACTTAGTAATTAACTACGTCTGAAGGCAAAAGTCCAGGGCNGAGATCAATTGATCTCAAGGGATTCACCTGATAAATAAAGGTTTGACATGAAATTAATCTATGATCTCTCAACACCAATATGAAAACAGAACTGTAAACAGATTTTCTTTTTCTTTATGGATATTTTACAAATCACTCCCCTTTTAAACTCTATTCTTGTTTTACTGTCATATAGTGTTTCATAACTGTTTTTTATTTATTCTCTTATTTATTTTTATATCTATAATGATCATATGAAGGTGTACCTTGGAAATAATCTTTTATATAATAATTGCATTCACTGAACACGGGAAATTACAATCCTGCCGTCCTCTCCAGTGTCATGAGGAGGTTCAGGTAAAGCACGGTTAATGTATTATATTCTATTGAGGGAGAATTGTCCTTGCTTTAGCCCCGAATGCCCAGGCCAGGCGACGCCACTGGGTGAGAGTAAGTATGGGGTTGATATTGATCCCTATCTATAAATTAGATCACCTGTGTCTGATTTATTTCGTGTATCTTAAGTCAAAACATCTTTCATGGACTTTCATTTGGTCACACTCAATAAAGAACTATTTTTATTTGTACTGTTAATTTTAGTAATGGAAAGAAAGCACATGGACATGAAGGAAATGAATGAACATAGCATAAGAGAACCTAGGAATAAGAAAGTATAATAAAAAAGAAACCTGTTTGACAATTCTTTCATGAAACACTTTTAATTTTCTTTCCGGTTTTTTCTTTGATATACACACTTTTGTGTCTACATAATGTTATTGTACCTCAGAGATGTGATTATGATCTTGTTTCCTTAAATACAAATAAATAAATGCTAATTGGGTCATGAACGGCACTTCCGGTGAAATCACCTAGTAAACAACAGGAAACATCAACAAAAACGCAATCAAATGAAGTATCACACCTTGATGGCAATTATGTTTATGTTTGGCATTATTAATTAACAAAATGAAAAGCAGAAAGGAGCGTCTGCCTGTAATAATTAATCCCTTGTTTAATGCCCCACCCGCAGAGCACGCTAAGTGACTCAAATCAAACACACCTGCTGCGACCACACCCGCGCTGCGTCACCAACAGGTCTCTCCTGGGTGTGGCTAATGCTAATGCTAATGCTCACGGTGGAGCAGTGAGTTCTGTGTTGATGGAGGAACTATTTCCCTCTGTAAGGAGTGTGAAACCCTCCTGCTGTTTGTGACAATAAACCCTGATGCAACTGCAGAGCCCCAATCAGTTTAAAAACTTTTAACAAATGTTCAGGAGTGAAGTGGGACAGACAGTGCACTGGTTATACTGGCACATGGAGGCCCAGTGGAGTGTTAATACTTGGACATAGAGGCCCAGACATAAGCCAAATGAACTTGTTATACTGGGACAGAAAGGCATAGTGAACTAAGAACCAGTGGCCAAGTGGACAGAGAGGCCTACACAGAAGCCCAGTGAACTAGTTATACTGGGCCATGGAGGGCCCAGTGGAGTGTTTGGGGAGAGTGGGGTAAGTAGTGCCAATTTTTACTTAAAGTGCCTTTAAAGCAAGGGGATTACAGTAATGCCTCCAACTAAAATATGTACATATAGTTTAGGATGTTGTGCATCCCTGGGAACAATCACTTCGGATCTTAAATAAACTGTTTGAGAAATATAGCTTTAGAAAAAAAAGTGGTTTTGTGGCACAACTTGCCCCCGGTGCGGGGTAAGTTGTGCCATTAGAGACAATACACTGGGGTAAATGGTGCCATTGGTAATTGAAGTAAAACAGATCATTTTAATCTCACAAACAATAATGCTATATAAAAGCAAGACAAATTCAATACAAAATTATTTATTTAATGTTTATTTAAAGTTTGAACAACATCAAAGGCCACTTTTCTATAACAAGGCCTATGAACACCTAACATCCTACTTGTCCAATGCTGCAGGGAAATATGAACTTCTGTTCCCTTCTGGCTGTACCACCAAGTTTTGTGGTACATGAACACATACTCAGAACAAAATTAAAATTCCAAAATGAGCACCTAATCATCTGCATCTGAATCTCTTCACAGATTCGGCCTACTACTGAACATCCCACTTGTCAATGCTGCAGGGGAATGTGAACTTANGATTAGATTTCTAGCGAGAAGTGTATATTGTACTTTTAGAATCTACGTCCTCAAATCATCTTCGTAATATCTATCAAACTATAGATCCTACACATCCACTGGACGTAGATTCTAAAAGTACAATATACACTTCTCGCTAGAAATCTAATCAAAAAGCATTTTAATGGCCAAACTATTCCACAATTTAGGATTTTCCAGAGAGGGTTATTTGTGAATAAACGACCCTCCGGAGCATTTGCAAACAACGGGAGCATGTTGTTTCTTACACGACCACTAGAGGTGCTACACTTTAAAACGTGACTATGGGTCGCAATAAGCTGCTGAACAATCGACTTATCTGGTCGTTTTTTGTAGGAAGACAGGCTGATATTAAACTGTAATTACAGTGTTATTACACACATGTTACACATAGATACAGTCAGATGACTGGATTTGCGAGGATACATAAGCCATAATAGAGTTAAATGAATCCACAAGAGGCCCTCATTTCAATGCAATGTTGAGAAAATAGAGTAAAAATATATCTTTGGGAGTGATTAAAATACTAAAATGTCTTGAATTATGAGAGTATCATGGCTTTTACCCGGCCAGGCGTAATTGATCCAATCTCTCTATTGCTATAATTGATAGATCAGCTTTTACTGCAGTGAAATGAAAAGAAGACATGACATATAAAATCTCCTCCAACTGCAGTGCACTTTACACTGGAGATGAATCACAGCAGTTGGTGAACCACAGTGTTATGATATCATGGGTGTGGCTCCGTAACAGTCATTAGAGCTCTCGGGCTCTAATAGCTGTATTGTATTTATTACGGTAATTTAGAGTCTGGTCAACAAAAGTATCCAGTTTTAAAAGGCAAAGGGCCTGCGTGTGATACTGCCCATGTAACTGACCGGGTATCCTTTTCTCCTCTTTCTCACCACTAAAGAGACAACTTGCATTTTGAATCAATTACAGCAAAAACCCTCGGAAGAGCCCACTCAGCAATTTCCCATAGAGTTATAAATAGAGCAGAGAGAAAGAGAGAGGGGGGAGACACGAGGAGCAGAGGCAGCCCTATGCCGGCAGAGCTTTTACTGTATATAATTTCCCTTCTTTCCTACCCCCACCCTTTCTTTATCTGCACATGCTCTCCTCCCCTCACCCCCCCACACTGTACTGCTCCGAGAACAAGCACAGAGGCAAAATAAAATCCGAAACACCTTTTGTTTCAGAGTGAAAGCAAAGCCGGGGATTCAGTTTGATAGATTCGTTATGCAAAGTCTCCATAAATATGAGGAATAAAAACACAGACAGCTGTGGACATTAGGCGCAGACATCGATACTAGACTGTGCCATTTGTTGATTACAATAGATTAAATTAACTTAATTGATTCAAATGGGGAATCTATAAGTCTCTATCAATCTATATCTGGGAATACACGATCTAATGTTGCTTCTAGACTGGAGTCTCGCAACAAAATTAAGATGAAGGAGAGCTATGTGCGACTCTACACAGAAAGCTATAAGGTGGGCTGAAGGCAGCATAGAGCACACTGAGTTTTCACTAGCAGCAGCTCGCCAGGGGGCATGTTTGTATGTCCTGATGTTCACTTCAACCTCCACTCTGTTTTATCCAGGGTGCCTTTCTTTATGGGCTGTCCTCCACTAACCTACAGACTCCATTTTGCAGTTCCCCCTTTAGGGGATTATACGTTTCCATGGTCGGCACAAAAGGAGCTTCCAAATACCACCTCAACTTTCAGAGATATTAACAATCTGCTGCATGCAGGAGCCTCGCAGTGATGCAACAGCAGCAGGATCGTGAGTGTGTGAGCGTGAGTGGGGGTCTACATATCTCTCTGAAGAGAACAAGCCGGGCAGACAGTCTATAGACAGCGGTCTTATTTACGTCCTGTTTCCACTGGGTCTTACAGACAGGCCAACAAAGGATGACAGAGCTGAGGAGGAACTGTAACTCTCTGGTAGCTGCTACACCTTGATAGCCCTGCTGAAGCTTCTTGAAATATGCAGTGTATGTAGCACCATGATGCACAGAAGGCTGTAATCCTACCCATTTTGCAGCCCTAAATTGCTATATATGTATGTAGCAATGAGTGTATGCACCCTCTCGAACAAAGTTTTCTGCTTGTCAGCACCATGAAAAAAAATCCTAATTTATCCTTCAGCAATGACCGGGAGGTATATCAGATGAGAGATAGAGAGAAAGGCAGAGAGGGGAGGGGAGGAAGCAAGGGAGATACATATATATATATATATATATATAGAGGTAGAGAGAGAGAGAGAGAGAGAGAGAGAGAAATGGAAATGGAAATGAAGGAACAAAGAGTGTAGATCTGACACCAAAGGATCTAAGGAAAGATTTCTAGCAGATACATACAATTGTACAGGAAGCAGAACAACAAAACTCTTGATCATTAACGACTATACGCGCCATCTGTTATCCACACTGTCAGGGGAAGTGTTTGTTACATGTCGACAAAATGACCCCGCATGTATGGCAAGATGGAACTTAAAGGTAACTCCCTCCAGTTTAGAAGATGTTCATTTCGCAAAGTGGGAAACAAAGCATTTTTCTCGGCTGAGGTTAATGCAAAGCTTTGGTTGCATATAGCGTTTGTGTTACATTGTGCTCACAGCCAATGGCATGCTGCGCCTCTTATTGTGTGCATAGTTACCAGATAATTGCTAATATGATGTCATTTGCCTCCTCTATTACATTAGTGTAAGATGCTACAAACTCCAGTTATCTTCAATGTAACCAGAGGTTTACTCTCATTATATCCAGTGTCAGAAATGAAGGAGTGCAAAGGGCGAAAATGCCCCAAGAAAATATGACTAGTTTATGCTAATAAATCCTAATCCTACACTCAACCAGCATTTTATTTTGATTCAATTAAATGAATTGCCATTTTGTCTCATTCATTAAACCTAGACATTTTATTTGGGCTTATTACACGTTAAAAACAACAACCTTACGCACAAAATAGTTTTTTTAATTTTTAAGTGGCCACACATCTTGTATCTTGTGCTGCCTACAGTATATAACACTCGACAGTAAAGGTAAAACCTCCAAAAGAACAATGTGGCCGCTTTAATTTCCAACACTGGTTATACCACATGGCCAACATGTTTGAACTGTAAGTGGCGGCATGTTCATATAAATAAATGTCTGTTCATCTTGGAAATAAGTGAATATATCACAGCAGTGACTAATCTAATACAGAGTTCATGGACATGTTTTGCACTGGCTGTTCTAAACACCTAGCAGTCTGGTAGCCCTTTCCTGGGAAAAATCCTCCCACTCACAGGAAGTGCTGCGTTTTATGTTAGCAGTTTATTTCAAATAAACAGCAAAAGGAGGACTAGATACTTAGCAAGCAGTGAACCCTGTTAACAGCTCCTGTTCTGCAGCAAGGCAGAAATAGCTGTGGCATTTCCATTACTACATTTCAGATCTAGTTTGCTGTGTATGTGATCCCTAGTTTTCCTAACTTCCTGTTTCCTCCCCACAGGGACAACGGAAAACATGGCGACACAAACAGTTGCAGAGCAAAGGCTAAAAAAGGAAGGACTAATGTTTTCCCAGCCTTATCTGCCAAACAACATAGCGTTTCTTGTCACAAAGTCAAAGTTGTTTTGCTAGTCTTGGTAGTCCTGCGTTCACACTGCATGTGAACGCAGCACGGGGCAACACCAAGTTTCAGCTACAGCTCCATAGTGCAACCTACCAACAGCAGGATAAGTGTGACGCATTGATATCAATATTGGTATAGACAGTAGTATTATGTGTTCATTCAGGGGGGAGGGTTTGATTCATTCACATGCACACAAAAAATACTTAAAAACAGATGGACAATGCATTAATTATGCAAGTATCACATTTTAAAATGCAGTGTGACTGTTGCAGTAATTTTTCAGTAAACAGTAAATTATGGATTCATTTTCGCACAAACTCACCGCTGACAAGGACTTTTGCTATTTTCCTAACTTACCCACAATCCCCTGCTGGATAAAGCATTGTAATACGTTACAGATAGCTCTCAATCTTGGCAGCTAGCTATAAGGAATTCTCAATAGAGTAGCGAAGTCACGCCCATCTACTTCCAGTCCATGGGACCTTATTTCGGAAAAATTACGTATCGAAGTCAATGAAGAGAGAAAACGTATCTTTCGATCCCGTTTGAATTGTGCCATGAATTACACATATGATGTTTGTCAATCTTAAAAAATCATTTCCATGTCAAAAAAGTCACAGTTTGTCGTAAAACTGTTGAACTATAATACTATGAAAAATGTGCAAGACTATAAATCCCAGAGTCGTGTAAGTGATGTCATAACTGATGTCACAATTGTTTTCCTCCACCAAATAAGAGATAGCTAAGATAAGATAACTTTAACAAGATGCCTGTGTGCTTAGTACCAGGTTGTTATCATACCAACAATGGGTCTTGCTCGTTCTTTCGCTTCCCGTCTGATGAAAGGACCAGGAGTGGCTGGATCAAGTTAGCTACCTAGCTAGTAGCAAGCACGTTAGTTAGCATTACAGTCTTAGCCTTGTAATTGTTATTAGCCTTAACATGAAGTAACATCAAGTAACCCAAAATGTTAAACAGTAAGAGTAGTCATATTTTGTGAACCCTTTGAAGAGTACTGTCACACCGGTGTGATCATTCAATAATACACCATTTAAGCCCGGGGGAGAAATGCTAACGCTAACGCTACATTAGCATCGGCGATCTGTTTTACTTCATGCTATCTGCACAAATGGTTGACATTAAACATTAAAAAGATCAGGCAGTTCAGAGAGAATCAAAGGAAGGCAGCCAGCTTTGCATGTTTCATGTGTTTCATTGTGGTGATAGTGAGGGTAGTCAATCACTTTTTTTTCAAGACAGTAGTGACGGCCATAGTGTATTGTTGTGCTAGTCTGCGAGACCAGAGATGTAGTTCATTGAGCGTTACCAAAAAATGTGTTACTTCACAGTTTTACGACACATTTTTATTTTTTTGAGTAGCAAAATTATCTTTTAAATTGACAAATATCATATGTGTAATTCGTGGCACAACTCAAACGGGATCGAAAGATAATCTTTCTCTCTCCATTGACTTCAATACATAATTTTTCCGAAATAAGGTCCCATGGAGCTCCCCCGGAAGGGCAGGGAATTCGCCACTCTATACTGTCAATATGGTTGCTTAGTAACTAACTAGCATAGCTGCTAACAATGGCTAATAACAGATAGTTGTGAGGGAAAATGAATAAGTTAAGTAAGTATAGGCACTTGATAAAACTATAGTCCAATAACTCTTTTGAGGTATTCAAATCTTCTCCCCTCTTTGCTTTACGAAGTACCCTCAGCATTTCATGGTGACATGCCAACAGAGTGACCGACACAGAGGCAGCAGCTGATATTCTACGTCAGCGGGACGTCCTTTATAACTTCATATCCCTGTGAACTTCCTCTGAGGGATACAGTGCTCTGCAGAAACGATTTTCTTCTACAGAAATCAAATCAACTGCCATGCCACACAAGCTAGCTGTTTGCTTACCCAGCATAGACCAATGTAGATGTCATTTGTATCTCATGTTAATCGTATGGGCTCATTACTTTATTGGTTTATTAAATGCATAGTTTATTAGAATACTCATCAGCTACAGCATTGCATAAGTTATTTTTCCTGTGGTCCAACAACTGTTTTCATATAGGGACAACACAACTTTCACCATAACACAAAAATTGTATAGAAATGTATAAAAGTGTTTTTATTGAATATTACAAATTAAATCTGATTGTATTTGTAAAATCATCTTCAACGCACCTCTCTCTGTTACGTTTTTTCTGTTAACACAAGCATTTTCGCGGGTTGTCACAAGAACACCTCTCACTCCGAACTAAAATATTCCACTTGGAGCAAGACTCAACAAAATGTAATGCATGCAGGCATCGTGTCTAATATTAAAGTCTGTTTAAGCCATCTGCTTTATACAAACCCTTTTTTAATGTTCTGTAGATAACAAGCCATACACGCAGCTCAGTGAGTGGGTTGCATGTACAGTGTGTGGGGAGGGAACAACGAGACCAGAGGGACGGAGACAGAGATAGAGAGGGAGAGGGAGAGACGGGGGAGAGGCAACACAGTGATGACTGAGGGGACAGGGGGACTGACAGCAGACTTACTTGCAGGACAGCTGGTTAATACCATGTATGATGTAACAGTCGCCTCCGTTGACGCAGTACGCTTTCTCCGAGTCGTTGCAGCGCCTCGCATGACTCACACCTGAAGACGGGGTGGTGGTGGTCACTACGAGGGAAATCACAAGGTGTTGAAAATGTAAGTAGTGCTAAATATAACACCACTGAAAAGTTTGCCATATCGGACTCCTGAATTTCAAAGAGCTTAGTGTGACGAATCTGTCTACTTTCTGGGAAGGCTTCAGTCACTTTGCTACAACTACTACTGCGCCGCTGCAGCAGCTAACAGCAGCTCACAGCTGCTGGTTTGTGAGTGTAGAGAGCCAGGTTCATCTGATACACCTGCTCTCATACACGAAACACACTACCATATTTTTATTTACCTTGTAAACTTAAATAAATATGTAAAAGTAATTTGCTACAATATTCAGATTTTGCCTTGTTTTAAAAACGTTTGAGATTATTCTATTTCCACAGCCTATTAAAGAGGACATATGATGCTGATTATCAGGTTCATATTTGTATTGTGTGCCTCTACTGTGACATGTCTCCATGCTTTAATGCTCAAAAAGCTCTTTATTTTTCTCATACTGCCTGTAGCACCTCTTTTCACCCTCTGTCTGAAACCAGAGCCCAGTCTGCTCTGATTGGTCAAAAGCTTAGAGATGTCCGTCCCGCCCCTTAGCCTATCACATATAATTTGATGTATGTGATATGTTACAGAAGTAAACAAAGGAGTCCAATGGAGGTGTTTCAGGCAGGGGGGAGGAGTGTGTGGGAGAGAAACTTCCTCTGGAGGGAACACAGCGATGTTAGCCTTAGCAGACCATTTACATGCACAGAAACCTACGTAACACTCTACAAGAAAGGGGAAACCCCCAAAAAGAATAATAGGGCGCCTTTAAATAATCTAATATCTGATACTGTACAATATTATATACTGAGATCAAATTCGTTTTTTTCAGAAAGTCAAAATCCCTGTGGAAAGAGGCTACTAACAGAATAACAGCCATCGTATAACTGTTTGAGGAGAACAGAGGTTGATCAAAGTGTACTAGCTTAGAGGCTATACGAACAAAGCATAGGACCTTTATATTTGTGAGGTATAATAATTCAAAGTCAACAGATTGCTCACAGATCTGCACGCTGATTATACTCGTGGCGTTTTCTTGTCCTAGTGAGTTTTCAGCCACACAGGTGTAGTTGCCGGAGTCTTCCACACGGACTCGACTGATCTGCAGTTTGGAGTTTTTTCTTCAGAGAAGATGAGAGGCAGAGAGGGATAAAGAGCAGATCAAAAGACAGTGTCGGTTATTGTTGTTCCAAACAAGCAGTTGACTCATCTCTGACTAAAAGATACATTATTTCTAGTTTCCAGCCCAGAACAATAAATGACTGATCATTGCATACAAATGTCCACTGGGAATGGCCATCAAAGCAAATGGACAATTATGAAGTTCAAACCAGAGACAGGCTTAACCTAATCTGCAGGATAAAATAAACTGAGTACAATAAATGACACTGCACTCCTTTAAAGGGACAAGTGTTTTGAAGTGGGGTTGTATGAAGTACTTATCCACAGTCAGTGTGTTTCCTACAGTAGATGGATGCCATCAGTGAGGAGAAACAGACAGCAGGAAGTCATGTACTGCAGTGGGCAAAGCAAAACCAATTGTAACAACTAAATAAATCTATACCAGTTTCAGTTTATGCTATATTTTGAATATTTACCTTTGATGTTTTTTAAAGGGTTCGTTTTGGATTCTCCAAAGTCCCAAAACACAAACTAACCAATCTAGACAGCAGTAGACCAGCAGCTCCTGCGTTCTTAAAGGTCAAATGACAGGTGTTTAGTGGAGTTTGGTGGCTTTGGAAAGAGCAGTGGTTGGAAGTAATGTAGTATGTAAGTACATTTACAGTACTGTACTTACAAATCGAGATACTCGTACTTTACTACAGTATTTTGACATTATGCTACTTTATCATTTTACTCAAATGTTGTATGCAAATGCTTTACTTTTTACTCCACTGCATTTATTTTACATATCTAGTTACTTATTTTCATTAAAAAATATAAATCAACTCATACATAATCATATATTATTATAGGTTTAGCTGCATATATAAAGACATTCAAATGAACACCTCTTTTTCCGAGTTCAACATTGTAGTAATGAACACATTAATGCATCAATAATTATAATACAAAGATGTTGATATATGGTGCGTAATTGGCTATTCTACGTCCTGAGTACTTTTACTTTTGGCACTTAAACTATACTTTGGATGCTAATCATGTTGAACTCTTACTTAAGAATAACTTTGGATGCAGGACATTTCCTTTTAACTCAGCACATTTACACTGTAGTATTTCAACATTGATTTAAGTAAATAAACAAAGTACTTCTTCCACCATTGAAAGGAGGATTCAATTCAGAAAATATTCTTAATCTAGCGTAAACTGGTATATATTGTTTTAGGTGTTTGCAATTAGGGCAACTATGGACGATCACCTTATAAAACCCCATTTCAAACTGTGAAACCTTTTTATTATATTGCTGTGTTGATGAACGAAACAGAAACAGCTAGTCAGTAAAAGTCAAATGAAGACAGTTTGGAAGCAACGTGCAGTTACTCAGGGTCACGAAAACAGAGCTGCATGCCACGCCTCATCGCAGTAAAAGAGGCAGTCATTTGTCTTGTGGTATATGGAGTGTGAATATTAAGGTACAAAATATCCAGACTCACTTGTTGGTCTTTATTTTGAGGTCTCTGCCTTTCTGAAGCTCGTGTCCATCTTTGTACCAGCGGAAGGAAGGGCTGGGATTCCCCGACGCCTCGCACTTCAAGTACAGCTTTTCCCCTTCCACCAGAGCCTGGCCTCGCATCAGCCGGAGCTTAGGAGCAGAGGCTGGACAGAG